TATATAATATATATATAATAATATATATATATATATATATATATATATATATATATATGAATGTACATATGAAATAATTTAAAAAGTGAATGTATATTCAAGTTTAAATCGTGCTATCATTTATGCAACATTTCCAATGCCAAATGATGTTACAGACCTACTTTTTCATTTCGCTTTACAATGACTTGTATAAATGTAAAGTGTAACACGCTAAAAAATACATTTTGTTTTTAAATATTTGTTGCAATAATTGTTTAATATTAATACACATTTAATACTAATAATATAAAAATGAAACAGAAAAATCAGCATTATATACAATATAATAATAATAAAATGATTTGATTATAAATATAATGTAACATATAATTTTAAAGAATAGTTATTCATTTTTTTTTCAATTATTTTTTATCATATAATATAAAAATAAAATATCTATTAAAAGGTTTTATAATATACACAAATATATTATTCGAAAAAAAGTGCAATGCAAAACAGTTTGATAAAAAAAAATGTATTCAAAATATTACGAATCAACAACCTAATAAAAATAGATTGTAAAAAATTTTGAAAAAAAAATTAACTAAAAATGTTATAAAGTAAATAAATAAAGTATAATTTAACCTATAATATATAAATAAAAATAAAAGACTTACTTCTTACTTTCTCCATTATAAGTATTAAAAGATTTGAGAAATATTATAAAATAAAAATATAATTTCACAAATGTTGTCTTGTGTGCTATAGGAAATATGTGCTATACTGTCAAAATGACTATGTAATCCTTTCACGAAATGAAGGTTACACTGGAAAACATTATGTGATGGTTTACACGTGAACTGATCAACTGGTATTTTAAAATTCTGTTCGCGAAGATCTCATTTCTTGGCGTTCCCCGCTCTCTTTCATTTTGGTCCATTAATCCCATGTTACTATTTTCGCTTGCTATATAAATATAATTTATATTTTTTTCAAATGATAGAGAATATTAATCTTAGAATAAATTTTTTAATTATTTTTTAATTATTAAATCTCATTAAACTTTTTATATTTTTAATTTCTCTTTTCAAGAATATTTATATAATTTTATATAATATATAAATTATATTAAAAGAATATAATATTTGTATTTATAATAATAAAAATAAGTCTAACAATAATGAATTATATTATCATGATTTTTAACTATTAAATTTATTTATTAATCTTCAGTAATTTTAGCGCCATCTATTACTAAACATACCTTTTTGAAATAAATAATATCAAAGGTATATAGTTGATTAAATGAAATAATTGAAAAATATTTTTTTATAAAATTTATCTAGTATTTTAAATATAATATTTTATAAAAAGATATTAAAAATTAATTAATAGATTTAGTAAAAATTTTAAATTCAAAATTTCTTAACCTTACATATATTGTTTAATACTTTCTAAAACTTAAATATATTTTTGTTTACAGAAAATGAGATTGAATATAATATATTTTAAAAGTAGACATCATGCAAGAGCACCTCAAAATGAAAAAAAAGTACCATTTAAAGAAATTATATCTTTATGTTTAAAAAATTCAGTTAAAGGAAATTCAAAAAATATCATGGGTAAAATGATATATTTTACAATACAATAAAATTTTTTATAAGAAAAATATTATTTATATTAAATATAAATAATATATTATATATATATATATATTTCAGAAGGTAAATGTTTATTTGAAATGTCACTTCTATTTGGATGTTGGAAGGAAAATACAATTGATAGTAAAATATGTGAAAAGTTCGTTCAAAATTTAAATGAGTGTTATAAAAACTATTTGAAGAATGCAGCTGAAGAAAAAAAAATTACGAGAAGTTGATATCCCTAGTCCTAATAGTAAAATACTTACAAGTAAGCAAATAACATATCTTTTACATATGTATCCAAATGTTTAAAGATTTTAAATAAAATATTAAAATTATATAGAAAATATTTATATTGTTTATTATTATTATTATTAATAAAATTCATATTACTATTACTATAATGAATTAATAATATGAAATAAAATATTATAATTTATATTATGAAAAAACTTTACTATCAATCTGTTTATTACCCTGTGCTTGTAAATGCTTCATTCTTAATCGTGTAGAATAACCTGTGCATGAATAAAATTAAAATAATTCTAATAAATTTTTTTTTACAATATCAATTATAAAAAATTATAATACTTACGAATTGGATATTTAGTAGAAATAGATGTAACTTCCTGTATAGTGTTTAATTGATGTTCAATACGTTTTAATGCTTTATTATTTTCTATTTGTTCATCTTTATAATAATAATATGTACAAAATAATGTAATGGCACAAAGAGTAAGAACTATTTTTCTACATATCCATATTGTATTCAATAAATTGTTCTAAATTAAAAAATAAAAATCATTTATTTTTATGTAATTTTTTTAAAATCAACTACTTTAAAAATCCAATTCTGATTATTTTATCTATTATTATATTATACCTGATTATCATTGGAATAATGCATATTATCATAATATTGAACCAACATTCGTTCTACTACTATATTCAAACTTAAAATTGAAAAAAGAGTGATTCTTGCATCTACAGTTTTTTTAGAAGAACTAAATAATGCACATAAAATACAACTAGTTATGTAATAAATAATTGATTGAAACCAAGAAACTTCTCCAACAATCCAATTTTGAAAAGAACGAAAGTATGAAAAGATTTCATACAATAATTCTTTTTGATCTTTTGCAGATTCTCTGTAATCAATAATATTATTTTTTAATTATCTTATAATAAGATTATATATTGAAAAATATTTTATATACTCACTTGAAATCTTTGACTAAATTATTAACACTTTCAGAAGAAGATTTTAATACAATACCAAGTTCTTTTCCATGATTTAAAAGTTTATTTTGCATTTGTAAACTTTGTTTTTGACTATCAAGTATAATTTCTTGCATTTCTGAAGCTTCTAATAATTGTTCTTTCATTCGAGAAGAAACATGATATAATCTGTAAAAAATTATCATTAATTTTTTCAAAAAATTTTAATAATTATATATAAAAAAGCTTACTGTTTAACCATGTTGTCAGTTTGAACTTGCCAAGCTTCATAATTTAAATAAAAACACATGTGCATAGTGTGTATATAAAATTCATTATATACATTGAATGCTCTATCTGACATATTATTAATACAATTTCTATAAAAATAATAAATACAAAAATTATTAAATATAATAATTGGTTTATACTATTATTATAGTTTATTTAATTTACATTATTATATTTACCTGCGTTGATATTCTGAATTAATAAGATAACAATCATATACCTCATGTCCACTATCTTTTAAAAAACAATTTGTTAATTTTAAGGCAAGAAGAGAATGTTCTTGATCATTTAATTTATTACAATCAATTTTCATTGTTTTAATAGCATTTTGCCAACAAATTCCATGCTGAGATAATGATGATTTTGCTATATAACATAAATATAAAATATAAAATTTATCATATTTTTATGTATGAAATTAAATAATATATACCTTTAATTAAATGATATTGTTTTTCTCCCAATTCTTTTAATATTGTACTTCCATCAATAGCAAATAAATAAGAAATAGGAAAAAACAAGAATATATTTAACTTATATATTTTTATTATTATCATAATGTATGTTCTTTTTTAAATTTATTTTATATATACATTATAATAAATAAACTATTTATATATTAGTACTTTTTTATATCAATATATAATAATAAGTAATTTGTTTAATTTAATTATATTATGTTCAAAAATTTAAATTTATATGCAGTCAAATATTAAATTACTATATCAGTTTTTTGATGCATATTCATTAATAAAAAAAAAAATAAAAATCCACTTTGTAAAATGTTAAATTGTTTTTAAGAAATGCAAAATTTTTAAAATTTGTTACTTCTATTATATATTATAGGGATTGAATGTTGAAAAAAAACTTTTCAATTTGTAACGACTTAAAATATTAAGGCGCTTTCTCAAATTTTTTTAACAAAGTTTTATAATATGGCTAAAAAAAAATAGTATACAAATAGTAAACAAATTTTCTTTACATATACTAACATTTTTTAAACATTATCATCATTTAAAATCTCTAAAATTTATAAATAAATCTCTAAGTAATCATATTATAGAGTAATCACAACAATCAAAATTTAATAAATTTCTTCACCATGAGTAATAATTCTATAGTAAGACAATTTGCAAACTTCATATAAAAATTAATGATTTCAAATCACATATTCGTAATGAATAATAGTACAAATTCATGATTTAATTATAATTATTATTATAGTTAGAAACTTATATTATACCATAAAAGATTAAAAACAATTAAATAAATTAAAATTTATAATTATAATATATATTATAAAGTAAAATAAAAATATTTTATATTATCAAATATGTTTTTTATCGAAAATCAAAATCATTATCATAAATATATGAAAAAATATTTAGATTTTCAAAAATCATAAATTATTCAATCATAACTTTATCTTTCATGTTTGTCATAGAATATTCAACAATATGATGAAGTTCTCGATTAGTGCGCCACCAAGTAGTGACTACCAAGTTAGACTATCGTATAACATTGATTTCAAATGTCAATATATATTTCTTATTATTATATTGCATTATATTGTATTTAAATCTTATATGTCAATATGTATATATTTAATAAAATTTTAATATTAGATATACGAATATAAAGAATAATAAGATACATGCATAATTATAAAATTTTAAATTTAAGATATGAGGTAAAATTTTCAATCTCATCTTAAATGATATTATAAAATATATCATAATAAAAAAAAAAAAAGAAGAAAAAAAAATTATCAATTACTTTGCAAAGATTGAAATGCATTTAATTTCTTTTTCATACATTCAATTTTGTGAAGAATCATCAAAAGAATCATCAAAAGAATACTTCCATTATCTTGAATATATAGTTCCCAAAGAGCTTGAAAAACATGCTACAGAAGCGCTGTTGGCAATCGGCCAATACCTTTTGCCATTGAATTTGGACAAACTGAAAATAAATGGTCGGAATCGAAACAAGAGTGATATAGGTTCGATCTTTTCTTTTAAGTTTTAAAAACCAGTTTATCTTTCGATGAGCATCAAAATATTAGTATCGAGATCATTCTTTGAATAATATTTATTGAGAAAAAAAAATATTAGTTTTTACTAACATTTCATTTCATATAATAATTAAATCGATTCTTAAAATAAAATAACCTAATTGATTTAAACTCTCTATTTACAAATTTATAATAATTATTTAGAAACAAAAATATAGAATACATTTCATATGTGGATCATCAATGGTTTTATAATATATAGATTTCCTTACGAAAAATTTGAATATATAACTTTATATATAATATCATATTAATATAAATAATTTTTAAAAACATAATTTGTGTTTTTAATAGCAACGTAAATATTATAAACAATCTCTTCGATATTAAAGAGATATTTTCAAAAAAAATTTGATTGCAAGATTAGAATTATATCATTTTTTTTGTGATATATTAAGTGTCCTAACAGTTTAACTGTATATAATTTTACATATATTGTAAAAGTAGTATTTAAAGTAAGTATAAACTAAAAAAAGTATATATATAAAAAAAATATTAATTAAATGAAATATTTAGAACAAAATCTATCATAAAAATTTTTAAACACTACTGCAAATAGAAAGAAAAATATTGGTTGGATCATATTAAAAGAATGATTTATCAATCATTGATAGACTATTATATTTATATGTATTGTATATATTATCGATATATTATATTTAGTATATAGGAGCAAATCATCCATATCTACTTTGCTTGACGTCATTCTCGTAAACTGTATATCATGAGATTAAAAATAAATGCAATCCGGAAAAGCATTCATTGTCAGATAATTACAATTCGATCTATTTCAGATTTACGATGTTTCTTCTCATTGATTCCATATCAAAACAATACAGACAAAGCCATTTTTACCATCCAAATTTATTCTAAATTGGAATTCTTTTATTAAGATAAAAATAAGTTTCGCAAATGTGACACACTTAGATGCAAATAAAAATCGATGTCGACCTATGTTGAGTGTCAATGATTAACGACTCGTTTAGCAGAAATTGTACGAGAAATAAAGTAAGATACTTTTCAAATATTCTAATTAATTAGCCTTTATATATTGCTGCAAAAAATGAATTATTTGTAATTCGATAAATTCGCTTTTATTAGAATTTTCAGTTAAAACTTTTCTTTTATATGAGAAAAAATTTTAATGATAATGATAATTTGAAGATTGATTGTTTGGTAATATTGATTTAAATGAAACTACAAAAAAAAGATTGAATGATAATCTTCGAGTTCCGTGATTCCGTGTGTGACTGATTCTAGCAATTTTTAGACGGAAATTTCAATCAATAATGTATCACGAAGATTTAATACTTTGGCAGAAAGCCTGATTCGTGTTTACCTTTTGAGATGTTATGAAACTTTTTATTTTATTTTATTATTATTTTTTTTTATTCATTCAACAATGGAGTGCTTTATAAAATTTAGCCAATTCATCTCCATCAATTTTTCTTTCATTAGAAATAAGCAGATCGATAAATTTTAACCATACCATAGTATAATTAAAAAAAGAAAAAGAGGAAGGAAAAATGGGATATATCTAGGTACACATATATTTTCTTGTATCTGTATTGAAAACTATTCAATTGAAAATTGAAAGAAGTTACAACAATTCATAACTGTCTTAAGCAGCGTTTATTTCGTTTCTTATTAATCAAGTCAGAGCAATTCTTTAAAAAATCAGTTTCTCGTTTTTTTGACTTGTGACAAGAACGCGTTACAATTACGCTTGTGTATCGGAGATTACCAAGAGTTTTCCGACGTAACGTAATTACGGCACAATTCTGTACCCCGTTATAATTATTATACGCGTATTATCGATTGTATTCCATGTATATCACCGTGTGTATAGCATTTACACGTCGAATCATTGTAAATGCTCGAATCGTATCATTTATATATATTATATATATATATATATATATTTATATATACAGGATGTTATATATGAAACAATCTTTAGAAGATTAACTCTAGAAATTAAACAAACACAAAATTTCAATCTTATTTATTAAGTTATAAATAATAAATGTAGTACGGTTATAAATAATAAGTACGGTTCCCCTTTTGGGGTGCAAACGAATTAAAATTTTGACTTAGATCTTTATTAATTTTTGAAATATTAATAAAAAACTTTTAATATAATATATTGAATTTTATCTATACATATACGACTTTGGTAATATGTATCAGCATATATTATCCATTATTTCTACAAACATACAGCAAGTGGCGTTCAAAACGCATAACAATTAAAAATCTATAGATTATGATGGATTTAAAACGTCTCAAATCCAATGCCGAACTTTCCATGGAATATAAAATATAAAATAATGTAAAAATGATGGAAAGAGACAGAAAGTAAGATAGCTTTATCTATCATTTTATTTTACTTTCATCTTATTTCATTTAAGGCAAATATTGCTTAGAATTCTATAAAAAAAAGGTTCAACCGATATTTTCTATATTAATTTTTGTATTTATTTTTTAGTTCTTGAGTCAATCCTCCAAAGATGTTCCATGAACATATGAACACCCTGTATAGATTGCAGAATGTCCTCCGTAAGATGTACAACGACATGATAGTTCGACCCCTATTCGTTTGTTTCCAGGAAACAGGCAAACACAAAGAAAAGGGGCGATTATCAATAAGGAGATGATGGACGCAACACGAGCATGATCTTTCATTGCATTTCGTTTACTAATTTACGTATTTTACTTACACGTATGTTTACGCGCGCATCATATGCATATTATTATAACGTGCGCGCGTGTTAGAGATCAAAAGTTTGCATTGTCGCTTAAGAAATCATGTTTTATCCTACGAAACTTAATGCTGTTAATTATATGCCAGATCGAGAGGGAGAGAGAATGAATGAAAATAAAAGAAAAAAAAAACATGATATGGAAACACACATTCTCGCGAGATAAAAGATGTATAAAAGCGTGCAATAACTCGATGGGGATCACGACGGTAATCTCAAGCTGCCGCTGCAACCGGATCATGAATTGCAAACGACAATTATTGTTCTCGAGAAAAAAAAAATAATGATAGATAGATAATTATATAAAGGGTGTTGTAATCGTAAAGGTACTAAAGTCAGTCACTTTTCATTTTAAAATCGTCCACCATTGTCATGGGGACAATTCATTTCTTATTTCTTACTTTTTTTNTTTTTTTAATTTTTTTTTTCTTTCTTTATATATGTATATATATACAAATCGAGGTACACAATCAAATACAAGACGGTCATAGATATCGATTCAATTAAAATTAAGTATATGAACGCAATTGATGAAAATGCACGAATCGAGAGATTACATATATGATACAATTGATGCATGAACGATGATAGGCTAAAATATCATTACGCGTGAAAGACGTTTATTAATCTTCTTTTATATTTCTCATACACACATATACACATACACATGTCCCATTCGTTTTTTAAAAAAATTATTTTCTCTCTCTCTCTCTGTTGCAGC